TTCTATACGAAACCTGTTAGATACCCTACTAGACACCTCTCTCTTTCTTCTTTTACCCGCTCGATACTCGATATTATCGAATATTTTTCTATTAGAAACCTGCTAGATACCCTACTAGATACCACTTTCTTCTTTCTGTTACTCGCTCGATATTCGATATCATCATACGACCCGTATCTGCCCGGGCGCGCGCTCTAYTTAAAAAAACCTTCGGGAAAATGGCTCGAGGAGGGRCGTACGAATCCGTACGGCCCTGGCGAATCCGCGTGCTTCCTCTTTTTTAGATTTYTTTTTCACTATTTCTTTCTTTCTTTTATTTTATTATTATTTTTTTCGTGAGGGTCATATGATAAAATAATTATTGACTGAGTTAGGTCAGGCCGTACGGGAAAATATGTGGCTCTCGGTYATTTGTACGGCATCACCTCGAGCATAATATTTTCCCGTACGGCCCTCCCACTCAGTCAATAAGTACATATYATCCGATATTATAAGACTTTCTTCTATTATTTTGTTCGAGCAAAAACATATTTTTAAAAAACGTTTTCGCTATGGGAAGGAGTAGAACACTTCAGAAAGACTTTTGTTCAATGTTGATGACTGACATTTCTGTTCTTGAGCTGGGTTTTGGCAAGGCCATGCGATCTTAAGATGACTATACATCTCAAGTGTAGTTGTTGATACACCTAATTTCTAGAACGTTGTTATATAAAAATAATAATGATAGGAATTAATTAGAAATAATTCTTTTATTTCTCTTTTAAACCCCCTAGATTGTTAAGAATAACTATATTAGCATATAGCAATAAGGTAATATCAAAAAATGTCAGTCAATACCTTAAAAACATAGAAATAATCACTCCTATTTTGCTTTCAAAGTAATTATTTTATTTTTTATTTTCATACGACGTTCTTGCAATTAGGTGTATGTCATTCACACAAACAAGTTCAGTGTTTCTGAAGACTCATGCTACTATTGCCTTGAAGTATTTTTGTTCAAGGATATGTCATACTTTCATTTTATCTCAAGAAAATGCCTTGTTCGTTCTTATACTTTAACTAGTGTTTCTATAGTGTTTCAACTTATTWTTTTTTTAATCCATTAATTTAAGCGATTAATAGGGTTAGACTAAAATGTAATTAGACTTCTCGCCCTCATGGTGAAATGAGTGAAATAAATTGAAATGGAACCTAGAATAAAATAAATAAAAACAGAAGGAACAAAATTGCATTGGTAGATCTATTTCGATGARCTGTCAACTGACTATATTTTGGAAATTTGAAGTGGAATATAAAAATATATAACAGTGTTAGGTCGTACCAATTAAGGGGGATTCACGAGGCTGGGAATGTACTTTTTTTAAACAATTCATTAGCTTCGGCCAACTTCTTCGACTTTCACCAACCCATTTTCCCTGCTGGCAAAGGCTTCGATCTTTTTTACTCCTTCTTTTGGAGGACTTTTGGAGGAACTTTGCTGACTATTGATGTGCCCACTATTTCCAATGTCATCAGTTGCATAGTAACGCTAACGCATGTGCAACAGAAAAGGTGACRRTTGGGGGCAAAGTGTCCCTTTTCTTTGCGAATCCCGATCCAGAAAAAGAAAAAGAAAAGGAGACYTCTGTCAGCAGGGAACAACTAACTGAACTATACTCTGGAACACAATCCTTATTCCACATCGTTTTAACTAATGCTATTAAGGCATGCTTATATGTTGTTTTGAAACAASTAAATAAATAAAACCTTGCTCAGATCAGACAGGCTGGCTGCAGTTCAACATTTTTGTGTTCTGCTTTCCGGCCTCAGCAACGCACCAAATTTTGAATCTCAATTTTCTGTTCAAATCAAAGTCACTGAACTAAATTCTTGGTCCTTTTCAAATTTAACCCAATTTACAATCACTTAGGTAAGCAATAACGTGTATTCATTTAGTATTTTTGAGAACATAGCTTCTAGAAAAATAAAGATATTCTTCCGACATACAAATCTGAATATGCATTCATTTACCATCCGCGGGTGCAAGAGTAGCTTGCGTCTGGGCTTACTACAATCTAATAGATACCAGTGAATGCATCATACAAAAAAATGAAAAGATGCTAAAAACTTAGAATAGTAAATAATAATTATGCTTTCATTTTTTGGTCGACTCAATAACGACCAAATTCTTGATTTTGTTTTTTGATATGTTCAGTTAACTGTGTTGCTATTGGATAACAAAGTCCGTTAATACTATTTGCAAGGCAGCTCATAAGCTTGCGTGCAGCCGAACATTAATTGCACGCAGGCTAATCAAAGATTGGCGGACTTAATATTGAAATTTATTCCAATTTTCAAATATTTAGACAGGCAATAACATATTTTCAGTTAATTTGTTCCTGACTGCACGAACAAGAGAGAAACAATTCCTCAACTAAGAAGATTCATTTTACTAAGCTTCAAAGGTAATGCAACCAACATTATTAATGTGTGTGTTA